ATTTACAGTGGGAAACATTAGGCACAGCGCCTCCAGGGCTGCAGCACCAGCCCAGGTATAGTGGACCTGATGCAATCCTGTATCAGCATTTATGGGAAAATGGATAGCAGTTGTTTTCTCCCGGTAGGGGCCAGTAACTGTACATCTGCCTTTGATCCAGGGTGCGAAATGTGGCCAGTAGGCCGGGGGATCAGTGCCTGACAGTTTGCGGTTGTCCACATAAACATAAACGGTGGCATACTGTGGCACCCATGAGAGGTTGTCCACTATCCACTGGAAGAGTGTCCTGTGATGGACCTGGCTGGCTGCGGGGCGTCGTATTCCATTCCCTTCGTCCACCATGATGGCTGGGTATGTCAGGGGTGACTGGGGCATACGACGAGAGCCGACATCGGCCCACTTCCACCTTTGCTTGATGTCGTCCATGCCGAGTGGAGTTTCAATTTCTTTTTCCGAGAGGAAAAGTTCATCAAGCTGGCGGCTTATTTGCAAGACCCCCTGGACATCGAAGAAATCGATAGGTGCTCAGCTCCTTGTTGGAAATAAGGAGTGTCATCATCTGTCTCGAGGGCGTCAAAGTAGACCGATTGGTCACTGTCCACTGACACATCCTCGCCTGTTTTATCTGGGATGGTTGGCTCTGTTGGTTCGATGTCTGTATCTGAGTCGTCAGGGTCAGGCGACGCCAATGAAATGAACCTGTTTGGTGCCATGAGCTGTTGTAGCATGCTGGCGCAGGCTTGACCCTGAACAACCGGTACCCGGGTGTCAGGTTACAAGTGACCAGCCGGGACTAGTGGATACTATCTGGGCAGTAAGTGCAAAATGTGTCAAATGGATTGGCAAGGATGGGGAAACCCCGAACACCCGGTACCCGGGGTCGGGGTTCCTCGTTGCGGGGCCACTTCGATGGAAGTTGAAAAAGAGAACCAAAACAATCAAGGTTTGTCTATCACCTTGGTGTGCGAATTGATGTCTGATGGCTGACCTAGCTATAAGAACTAGTAGAGCCACAAAAGCTGCAGTGCAAACAATTTACCCAGTTACGGTGTTCATGCAACCTTCTTTGCTCAAAGTAGAGATTAGTTCTACTGGAGCTGAGATGACTGAAGACGACAGGACCTGGGACACACACCTAACCAAGACAGCAAGTAAAACCAACTCCCCATAAATCACCTTACTCTGGCTTGCGGGGGTCAAACTTAAGTGGGTACTCTCCCACAAGTTAAGTTTGGGGGGTATTACCCTGGCACGCAGCTGCTTTTCTCTTGGCGCATCTGTGGGGTAGGCGGCAACAGAAATGGCACTGATCAGGTGGTTTCACACAGTCAGGTGCACTCAATGCTAGCTGGCTGCAGGTTTGATCAATCAATAATTTCCATTTCCAGATCTGCTACAGGCGAGGCTTGCGGAGTGCCTGGTGACTGGCCATCTTGCATTCTTTTGAGGCGCTTCTTGATACGCGTCAGATGCTCGCGAGCACTGGCTAGCCGCGTTTCATGAAAGGCTACTCGTTCACAGGCTGCCTTCTCCATGTTCTGTAATGTCGGGATGTCCGCTGCGGCGAGGTCAACGTCCTGTCTGGATTCACTGGCGGGCTCAGGGCTGCTAGCAACAACAGTGTCAGTGGCTTGCGTCTCTGGCGATTCATTTGGTGTGTCAGCAGGCAACGATTCTTCTGTCAATGTGTCGTTGTCGACAGCGGATTGTTCCTTTTGAGGTTGCTGCTGTTCTTCATCTTTGTTGTGTGTTGCAGATTGAGAGTCGGAGGATAACACGCCGGTACCCGGGGTATCCGTCTTTGATTTGCTCGTGGATAGGGTCGATGGTGGGCCTGGTCTTTGGCTGAATAGTGATTGTGCACTGACCTTAGGCGGCCGATTGCATTCTTGAGGAGCTGGAGCTTCTGCCGCCACGCCTGTACTGGGATTGGTTGGTACGGCGGTTGCAGCGTTGTCTGTGCTTTGTTGACTAGCGGCCAGCAAATTGGCTGGTTTTTGGGTTTGTTTGGAATCCGCTGGTCGGCTGTCTGCCAACGTCCGTTGGTTTGCTTGAGCAATGATAGATTGCAATTCCATATATTGCCGTTCTCGATCAGCCACCTGTTGTGGCGTGTTCTGAGTACCCTTCGGGTCCTGTGGAGCGGCTTCTTGTAGTGCTTGTACCGGCTGTTTTGTTGCATTTCGGTCCGTCCACCTGGTTGGATTCGGTGGAGGCGGAGGTTGTAAACGCTTCGCATGCTGAGAAGGTTTAAGTTGGTCAAGGCGTGGCTGAATTTCATCTCTCAATTCAGGTGGGTACGACTCTCCTGTCTCAGCTAACCACTGTATGGTGTCTTCATGCAACCACAGGGTGGTCCTCCACAATGGGATGGTGTTGTCATCATTTACCCAAAACAGTGGCGTAGGCGGTAGCAACTCATGGGCCTCCACAATCAATGGCAAAAGGAAGGCCAATTTCTTCTGCTCATGGAAAATCGCTGCTCCGTTCGGGTGAACCTTCAGGTGGGTATGATTCCACACAAAGGGGTGCACGACGCGCATGGTGTGGGCGATGTCATTGAAGATGGATAATCGAATTTCGGTATACGGTGGCGCAACACCGTAGGCTTTTCCATCCCAGGGTAGTTCAAGGAAACCCCACCGCTCTTTTCGGCTGTGGTTAACGGTCTCCCAAAAACCGGGTATGAATTCTTTCTCAAGGACATCAGCAAGAGTAGAAAAAAGAAGCCATGGCTCATCGATATACAATTGGTATTCGACCAGCGTAAAGTTATATGTTGTTTGGCAATCTCCTACCCAAATTGCGCCCCTCACTGCAAGGAAGCGGACGTTACTGGCATCTCGCATGTCCCAATTCATCCCAGCCGACATATCCAGTAGGTGTTGATCGGCGACAACGATTGGACCAGACGGAAAGTGTGTCGGCTTCGGCATACCAGCAACAGGTACCCTGCAGTGGTAGCACTACCCGGTAGTGGAGGTTATTTTGCAAATTTCTTGCAGGACTCATCCTCGATGCCAGGGCACCTTGCGGAAGGGGGAAGGAGAATGAGTCCTTCACAAAGCGCGGAAGGGTTGAGAAACCTGTTGAAGCGCAGCCCTCAGTTTCAAGTTCGAGCACTGTTGGTGCGGGTGAAGTTCATCCTTGCAACAGTAGTGCAGTTTTACAGGAGGCTCATTCTTGCAACAGTAATGCAGTCTTACAGAAGGGACAGACAGGCAGCAGTGGGTCAACATCACAGGTTTCAGGTGTTGTGGCAGAACCCCAGCTTTCACAGGAGGCTGGGGACCAGTTCGACATGGCAGCATCCGGCAACTCAGGTAGACCCATTTCTGTTGAATGGGACCAGACTCACAGGGGATGCATTGACGGATTTGGTTTGTGCAGTCCATGCAGGTGGAAGCCAGTGCACAGAGGGTCCAAAGGTCAAAGGACATGATACAGTTGGCACAAGATACATTTCAGATTTTGGAAGAAGCTGTCAGGGATTCCATCTCAGATTTACGTCTGGAGGCGTTCAAGCTGGTAGCAGGGAAGATCAAGCAATCTCCTTTTTCTGGGGCCACACTGGATACGGCCCGGAAGCGCTAGTTTATGTTGTTGGGGGATTCAAGTGATGCTGCAGTGGTGACGATGGTCAACCCTTTTTCTTGCGGGCGCTTGCACAATGGCTCAAGAGGTTTCAAGACCCAGACGCACATTGGCTGACTGAAGTTGAGGATTCGTTTGCTTCAGGGGTATACGTTGGTGTTGACAAACCATTGCCGAGATCTCCACAAATTTTCCCCCCAAAACTTAAGCAACGCAGACTGGACGAGACTGACTTTGTTCGATTGTAGAGAACTATCCCTCTGCCCAAGTTTCTGCAAAGGAACTGGAGGAAAAATTTCGGGAGGAGGAAATGCTGGGGAGGATGCACCCGTCAAAGTTGGGAGTGCTGAAACAGGAGTATGGTGAGTCATTGCGTTTAGCATCTACGGCCATCACAAAACCAGATGGAAGTGTCAGACCTTTGCATGATGCTACACACTCAGTTATGGTTAACCACAGCATTGTATACCAGGACAAGATTGACTGTCCGGGCCCTGCAGAGATATCCTCCATAGTAAGGGAGACAACGGAGACTGGAGAAGCAGTTTTCTGCGTAAGTGCAGATATCAAAGCGGCTCACAGACTTGTGAAGATCAGGAAGTCCGATTGGGGCTATTTGTGCTGCCGTGCAGATTCTGAATCCACTACTGTCTGGGTGAATCATACAGGAACGTTTGGTGTGTCGAGTGCGCCTTATTGGTGGGCCAAGTTGGCTGGCTTATTAGGGAGATTTGTGGGGTACATGTTTCACAAGAGGTGGATGATGCAGATGATTTACGTGGACGATTTGCATGGGGCATTTGTTGGCGCTATGTTGACCAAAGCATCCACGCACCCTGCAGCAATGAACCCGGCCACACTTGCCGGCACACCCTTGGGCGTTGTAGGCATAGCATATGTCTCTTCTGTCTGGCGTTTGTGACATCAGGGCTGTGTCCCCTTTGAAGCCAGACTTGCCTTTTCCTTTCTTGTAATTCTTGCCTTTGGATGATTTTCTCTTTCCATGAGCACCAAAAGGAGAGTTAAGGTTCTGCCCTGAGTTGCCTTTCCCCGATATCTTCTAGTCTTCGAGATGTGCTCACGTCCGTAGCCCTTTTGGCTCAAGCCGTTGGCTCAAACTGGGAGGACACCGCACCTGCAAAAGTCAGAGTTGCCTTGGTCTTCCCCGTCCCCATTTTTCAATTTGCCCGACCGTTCATATCTCAAAGCTGACACGGGGTTCCCGTTGTTTGGCCGCTGCCCATACTAGCGAGTGGTTCCCGTCGTTTGGTCCAACCAGACATCACGCAGGTCAGGTGGATAAGATGCACTTGGGGCAGTATTCCATTGTGAATTTGTTTTTCCAATCAACTTGTGTTCATGAACATGTCCGCAATCTCTCGGCAATGGCCCTTTATAGCAGTCTGTCAAATTTTGGCAGAGAGCAGCAACACCTTGGGTGATCCACCTGAAACGAAGTCAAAAACCTTGTCGGTTTGGGAGTTGTACCTCCAAATTTACACTGATGCAACGCAAAACAACAAGCCCCAAACTTTGGGATGAGCTCCAACAATTCTTCCCACTGCCAAATTGAGCCCGGTCTGATCCCTTGCACTGCCCCCAAATCTTCTGGATGTTCCAACAAGAAAGCTCTACCAGCACTTGCGGCAATGTCGCAAGCAAGCAAACAGTTATCCACAAACATGTTGGCCTCTTCCACCTTGGTCTTATCTCTATTGCTAAGCCATGGAAAGCCACGTGGCCAGATATGTGTACGCAAGGGCTTGGGCAGGTGTTTCCGCTGAAAACGTGCTCTGCTGAATGTATTGCAAGGAGGTGATACTATGAGCACCCAGTCGCCTTCCTTGAGAAGGGCAAAAATGCGCTCCCACAATGCATGGTCAGTCAAATCGTGATCTGGCGACCTTTCGATATCAAATTCCATCAACTCCAGTTTGAAATTGCCTGACTCTTCAGCTTTCCTAAGGAATGAACCAATGTCAGAATGGCGCTGATGCCCAGCAAATAGGTACATCACTTTCAGTACCGGCAGCTCTTTGCCCTGTGCAGGCTTGCTGGGAACGTCTGCACTTCCGTCCTGTCAGGACGCATGCTGGCCCTTGCTATGTTCAACTGCTTTGTGGCTTGCGTAGCAACCCTTGACTCTGCACTGATGGACCCTGCCGCAAGACCCATCGCAATCTCCTGTGTTCCAAGCGAAGCAGAGTTCACGCCCATCCGGGGTTCTCCATGCCAAACCAAGGCCTTTCAGCCTGGGGTCTGGAGCTTTGCCTTTGTTCTTGCCTTTGGAGCCCTTTCCTTTGCCCTTTGAAAAACCAAATGGCTGCTTACCAGAGAAGGGACCAGAACCCCCTTTTGAATTGTAGCGCACGAACTTGTTGGGCTGGTGCTCAGGCATTGATGCACGAAGGGCCATAGGAGTCGTGAAGTAGGCCTCTTTGAGGTCCGGGTCCCGTATAACTGCTTCAAGGGCTTCTGCTAATGAATGCCCAGCCATCACTTTCTTCATGGCTTCCTTCCTCAGCTTGAACTCGTATGCCAACACGATGGACCAGTCTGGCTTGACCCTTTGTGATCCTGAATCTCCAGAAGCTGATGGAATCTGTAGCCCGTACGCCCGGTCTCCAAGGATGTATTCAGTGAATTTCTGAAAAGGCACTGCAGTGAGTCCATGTAGCCAATGCTTTGCCTTGTAACGCGAGGCCATGGCCAGCCACGCGAACATCTCCACTTTCATCACCTTACGGTATTCTTCCGTGGATCCAGGCATCTTTGCTTTTGCCTTTGTTCGTGTCACTCTGATGTGGCCAGTGCTATCCACTGCAGACTGAATCTGTGAAGACGCCTGCTTGCTCAATATCTCGTCCAAGGGTGCAGCGGTTGCCTCATTGCACTCCGTCTCCTCGGCCTTCAATGATAGGTAATCAGAAGAAGGACATTCGGAGTCATTGAGCTGGCCATGGATATTTTCAACGGCCCTAATCATGGCCTGTCTCGCATGAATTTGGAGAATGCGAGGCTGGCCCAAGACTTTTGCCTCTGCTTTCAACTCCACCGCTTTCGCCATGTATTCCCTAGCTGTCTCCCATGCAGCCACCACCGAAGCTGTCTGTGCACGCGCCTCCGGTGTTTTTTTTTTCCCCTCGAGTTTGACCGATGTCGCACGAGCATAAGCGGTAAAACGTCACTTTGTACACGGACCATGTGCACGCGCCTCCGGTGTGTCATTTGGGATTGCAAAGTCTTGCAAACAAGTGGTCCTAATGGCAGCCCTGTCATCTTCCAGTGCTGTAAATTTCCGCAGTGATCCATAGTGCCTGCAGATGGCCACCTGATTTTCCAAGCTCTGTAGATGAGATTTGCAGTGATGATTTTGATTCGATTTGCCAAACTTGTAAGAGAAAGATGCTGTCAGAGTGCGGCAAAGATGATGTGGTAGATTCTTCATCTACGCCCTCCTCTTCCTCAACGGATTCTGGAGAGGACACTCACGAGGTGCCAGTGGGCTGAGAGTAGTCTTGAGATTGGCCATGCATTGACAGATTTGCATGTGATGTCATTATTTGAGAATGGATGACAAGTTTCCAACTTTTGCGTTGAGACGCAACGGCACAGTTCAGACTGTAGCTTCGTGTTTCTTTCCGAGACGGAGAAAACAGGTGGTAAGCTTGCTTCCTTGGGATCTTGAAGTTTATTTGATTTGTCATTTTTCCTCCTTGGGGCGGATCGTTCAACGGACCCCACCAAGTCTCTCAAATCTCAGGGTTTTGTGGCGATTTTTGAGGAGTTGCTGGGGTCCAATTCGCAAGCCCAAACCAGCAGGGAAATTGGCAATTTGATTGGTTTTGTTTGCTCAAGGCAGGTCCAGGTTGTGCTGTCGTGTGATCTGTGCTTGTTTTTGGCTTCTGGATTTCATCATTTGGGAACGGGATGAGGATTGGCATTCTTTTCACAATTCTGTTTGATTTCCACAAACCTGCTCAATTCGCTTCGTTTTCCTTTCACTTCCGTAGTTCTGTCCTGCGTTTGCCGGTGTGGACATCATGGATCCAGTGGCCAACGTGAGTTTGTCAGAGATCCGATGGACGCTGACATGCAGTTCATTCTTGGTGTCAGGCTTTACAAAACAGCCATCTAAATGAAGTCGTCTCAACGCTGTGCGCCTTGAGATTGTGATCCTGTGCTCTAGCAGCAATCTTGGCCACCGACTCAGCTAACGCCACCTGAGTCCTCAGTCTTATCAGGTTCCTGCCAGTCATCATCAAACACCTCCAGTGTGGGGAAAGCTCCACCGAGACAATTCCTCCCGGTCCAACCTGACATCACTGTGTGGCGTTTCTTGATTCTGTTTGGGTTTGCACCTTCTGCCTCTGCTGCATCACAAATTTTCTGAATGGCCTCGTCCTCGAAGTACGCCTCATTACGCCCTTCCACAAGGCTTCGATTCACAGCCTTCTGAATTTTGAAAACAACTTGCCTGGCAGTCCTAACATATTCTTCTGACTTCCCCATGCGCCATCTGCCAAGAAATGCACGCTCATCTCTTGAAAAACCTATTGCAACTGCAACAGAAGTGAGAAAGTTCCTGGGGCTGTGGCCAGAGAAGAAAGACTCAAGACCATCCGGCAGCAAGAGAACGTGAGGCATGAGCTCCCAGCTGAACGCAGCCCTTCTGGGGACTGGCAACATCCCCAGCAACTTCGAAATGATTGAGCTGAGGCCCGCTGGTGACAGAAACTTCCGCCTCACCTTGTGCCGAGGGCTCCATCACCATGTAGTCCCGGCGAAATCTGAATTCGTCTGACTCCCAAATTTCAAATCCAGAGCGAAGCCAGTCCTCACCTGTGAGGGATGTAGTGCGGTAGATGTGCACCGCAACCTCCTTCTGCATCTTGTCTGGTCCTGTCGTCTTGGTTTTCCCAAGCACAAGCCTCATGCTCTGTGCATCTCTGTGTAAAAGCGTCTGTGTGTAAACGCTGCTCTGTGTAAAGGCCTCTCTGCGTCAAACCTTCGGTCTGTAAGCTCTGTGAACAAGCTTCTATGCGTAAAAGTGTCTGTGTGTAAAAGCTCTGTGTGTATGTAAAGCTTTTGTGCGTGTAAATGCTTCTGTGTATAAAAGATGCTCTATTTAGACGCTTCTCTGTGTCAAAGCTTCTCTGTGTAAAGCTTCCGTGTGAAAACCTCTGTGCGTAAAAGCCCTCTCTGTGTAAAGGCCTCTCTGCGTCAAAGCTTCAGTGTGTAAAAGCTGCTCCGCATAAACGTTGCTCTGTGAAGACAAACCTAAGTGTAAAAGCTGGTCCGCGCAAAGGCTTCTCTGTGCGAAAGCTGCTGTATGTAAAAACCGTTTGTGCTCAAAGTTCCTTCCCAAAAACGCTTGTCTGTGAAAAAGCTTCTCTGTGCAAAATCTTCTCTGTGTAAAAGCTTCTGTGTGTAAAAGCTTCTCTGTGTAAAGGCATCTCTGTGCAAAAGCTTCTGTGTAAAAGCTTTCTTGTGAAAAGGCTGTAAAAGTTTCTGTGTCTAAAAGCTTCTTTTTGTAAGGCATGTGTGTGCAAAAGCTCCTGTGTGTAAAATAAAAGCTTGGGCATCTGCGCGTTAAAATTCCTGTGTGTAGAAACTTCTTTGTGAAAAAGCGTCTGTGTGTAAAGCTGCTCTGTTTAAAGGCTTTCTGCGGTGACAAGGCTTTTCTGTGTAAAAGCTTCTGTATATAAAAGTGTCTGTGTGCAAAAGCGTCTGTGTAAAAGCTGCTCTGTGTAAATCCCTCTCTGTGTAAAGGCTTCTGTGTGTAAAATCTTCTCTGTGTAATTTTTTTCGCTGTGTAAAGACAACGTGTCTTTTGATTCTGACTGTCGCTCAGGTGCCAGCCCTGGAGCAAACCCTCTGCGGGGAGAAAAAAGGCATGAAATCGTGGATATATATAACATTTGACTCGCGTCAGCTATCATTCATCATCATCTCCATCGCCATTCATCCTCGCCATCGTCATCGCCATCACTATCGTCATCATCATCATCATCATCATCATCACCATCATCATTTTTCTTGTGTATGATCTTCTCGTCTCTTCCCTCCTGCTTTCTTTCATGCCACGCTGTCGTCTAGTGTTTCTATCCATGTGCGGGTGCCGTATCATGTTTTGAAGCAAAACTAGTTCTTCTTCAATCTCTCCATTCCGTTATTAGAACAAGTCTTCAAACTTTGCAGTTCTCCTGATTCTGTTGTTCAATGTTCTTGGAACCTTGCCTGGGCAACTGTTCTTGGACACGTTGCTTGACACTTCGGAATCTTGCTTGGGAACCTGTTCTTGGGAGCCTATTCTTAGGAACCCGTTCTTGGGAACATTGCCTGGTAACCTATTCTTGGGAACTCTCTTTTGGGAACCTGTTCTTGGAAACTTTGCCTGTTTGCTTCAAACCTGTTCATTGGGACCTTGCTCAGGAATCTGGTTTTCGTAACCTTGCTTGGGAACCTTGTTTAGGAACCTGTTCTTCGGAACCTTGCTTGGGATTCTGTTCTTGCTTCCAACCTTGCTTGCAGATATTGGTTGAAATTTCGCTTTGCAAGTTGTTCTTGGAAAGCTGTTCCTGGGAACATGAGCAACCTGGAACCATGCTTGGGAACGTGTTCGTGGGAACCGTGCTGGCAACCTATTGCTCGGAACCTTCCTGGAGAATTTGTTCTTGGAACCTGAACCAATTCTTGGGAACCTGTTCTTCGAACCCTTGCTTGAATCGAAAACCTGTTCTTGCGAAGCTTGCTTGAAAACCTGTCCTTGGGTACCTTGCTTGGGACCTGTTCGTGGAAACCTTGCTTGGGAACCTGTTCCCAAGGACCTTGCTTGGTAACCTCACTACCCTGCAAGCAAACCTGTTCTTGGAATTCTTGCTTGGGAACTTGAGGCACTGTTCTTGGAACCTTGGGAACTTGTTCCTGGGAACCTTGCTTGGCAACTATTTCTGGAACCCTTGCTTGGGAACCTGTTCTTGGGAACCTGACTTGGAAATTATTCCTGGTAACCTTGCTTGCGAACCTGTTCCTCGTAAATTTGACTGGAAATCTTGTTCTTAGGGTGGCTGAAGACCCCAACCTTACGCTGTTGGGGAAAAAAATCCCAAGCAAGTTCCAAGGAAGAGGTTCCCAAGCAGGTATCCAGGAAGAAGTTCCCAAGTAAGGCTAATTAAGCTCTTAGGAACCGCTTGCAAGTACGGTTCCCAAAAACCGTTCCCAAGCAAGGTCCCAGGAACCGTTTCGGCGCAAGGTTCCAAGCAGGAACAAGGCTTGCAGGAACAGGTTCCCAAACAAGCGTTCCCAGGAAGAGCTGGTTCCCAAGCAAAATTTCCAAGAGTAACTGGGAACCCTTGCGTGCGAACCTCTTCCTGAGCTGCGCTATAAACTCTTTATGTATTGGTGAGTAAGGGGACGGTCATAAGGTGGCTTCGCGTAAGCCAAAACTGCAGTGGCGTAAGAGCTGCGCAAGGTTTTTGGCTTTGAATGTTGTGCGTAAGCCTGCGTAAGGCATGCTTGAAAAGCACCTTTTGGCTAAAGAATGAAAGAAACATGAGGGTCAATATGCTTGGTCACGTTGATGACAGTCAAATGGAAGGGAAACCGAGCTGTAAAAACCTGCTGTAAAAAAGAAACAACTGGAATTGCACACACAAGCTTACAACAGATAATTAATGTACAGATATATGGGTTGCGCGCAAAAAGGGCGGTTAGGGTTTTAGTCTTCAGGAGGTCGAAATTGTTTTTTTTTGTTTTGTTAGTCTATCGTACAAGGCGGGCCCCAGCCTGAATGACGTTATTCACCAGTTTAGTACAAATTTAGTACTACTAGTGCTACTAGTACAACTAGTACAAATAGTACTACTAGTACTACTAGTACTACTACTTCTACTAGTACTACTAGTACTACAAGTACTACTCGTACTACTCGTACTACTTTTACTACTAGTACTACTCGTACTACTCGTACTACTTTTACTACTAGTACTGCTAGTACTACTAGTACTACTAGTACTACTAGTACTACTAGTACTACTAGTACTACTAGTACTACTAGTACTACTACTAGTACTGCTAGTACTACTAGTACTACTAGTACTACTACTAGTACTACTAGTACTACTAGTACGACTAGTACTACTAGCACTACTAGCACTACTTCTACTAGTACTATTACTTCTACTAGTACTATTACTTCTACTAGTACTACTAGTACTACTGCTTTTACTTCTACTAGTACTACTAGTACTACTAAAACCATGCCAATAATTGACATGGCCGCGCGGATTCCGCGCGCGCGGAATCCGCGCAGATGTTTTCAGGTCAGAAGGACATTCTAGTTAGCTTGGAGGAGCGCAGGTGACTACTACTACTACTACCACTACCACTACTACTACTACTACGACTACTACTACTACTACTACTACTACTAGTGCTACTACTATTACTACTACTACTACTCCTACTCCTACTCCTACTCCTACTCCTACTCCTACTCCTCCTCCTCCTCCTACTACTACAACTACTACTACTACTACTACTAATTCTACTAGTACTAGTACTCGTATTTCGGTACTAGTAATGATATTACTTTGACGATCACTAAAATTGTTCCTAGTTTGACTGCCCGTGCTGATTTTTTGGAAGTTGAAGAAGACTCCGGGAAAGGTCAGAAACAGGTCAGAAACAGGTCAGAAACACCAAAAAGGCAGCACTTGCCT